TAGCACAGTGCTCAAAGAGTAATTTTTTAATGAATGAATAAAGAAGTGAATGGATTTCTTAGATGGTCCCACTTCCTTCCATTTTCATTGTTTCTTCTGCAGTTCAAGCTACTTTTCTTAACAACCTCACAATTCATAATTTAGAAATCTATAGATAAAACCTCCCAATAACTGCATTCTCTCCTTAGAGAATTGTAATTCCCATGCTCAGCACCACTGCCGTGCGTTTTCCATACAGCAGCTAAAATGACAATTATAAAAGGGACTAGACAGCATTATGCTGAGTGAACTGACTCAGCCTCATAAGGACAGATACTGCATTAGACTATTACTGAAAAATAGAAGGATAACTAGTAAAACATGTATGAGAGTTCAAGGGAAAGGAATGGTAGCAGAAGGGTGAAGATGGGTAGGGGTGAAACCACAGGACTGCACAGTTTGGTCAGTGGAGGTGGGGAGGGGTGAGAAAATAGGAAGGCTCTGGGTGAAAAGACATGATAATGTCATTGTAATGATGGGCAAGGTCCAATGGTAATTTTATAAAACATAATGCATGTGAGAGATTGCTTGAAAAACACTGTGAATGAAGAATAGTGTGAAGCACAATGTATATCAACTCTATAAGCAAACTAATTAAAAAAGAATGCACAAGAACCCACACACAGAATAATCTAACCATGAACGTGCACCATCAAGAGGTCATCCTACACGCAAACTTAGTCTTCCTGAACTTTTTGCACGTTTTAAAAATTATTATACTCATTGTTCCCTTCCTTACTTTAGAAACACTCTTCACTTCTCCCTTCGCTTGGTTGGCCCTTTTCATCCAGGTTGCAGGCTAGTCACTAATTCCCAGAAGAGTCTTCTCTGATAGCCGAGTTTATATCCGGACCCTGTTGGTGTGCTCTGGCACCTGGCACTTCTTCTACTCTTCCCTCATTATTTTGTTGTTGTTGCTGTTATGTGCCTTTGGGTGGAAAGATTCATAGAGACCTTATGAACAACAGACCTGAACCCTGTCCTATCCTGAGCCATCCTCATCATCTCTAAAACACCTGTGTCAATCTGTCCTGAGTCTTCCTCTCTTTCACTGACCCCTCCACCTTTCCAAGCCTGGTATCCCTTTCCATTCCCTGTTAATTTCTTTAAATTCTTCACTAAACTGTAACTTCTAGCTACTCACCTCACAGTTGGATCCTAGCGCTGGTCCAGTGACCTATATGCATATCACAGTCCGTTTATGACATTTTCTAAATTATGGAAGTAAAAACTTTCATGTGCTGCTGAAATGATCAAAATATGCATATGGAAAAACATCCTATTCCTTAATAAATCTTCTGGCAAGATGCCTGGTTCTTGACTCTAAATTGTATATTGTCTTCTTGTCCCTGTTCATTAGATTTGTCATCGTGGTGGAAATGATTGTGTGTTCCTTTGATTAAAAGTTCATTCTAGGACAGGATTTGGGGCTGGTACACACAGTCAATTCCAGGAAATCTTGCAGGTGATAATGTTGCAAAACAAAGCACAAGACAGCTGTTTTCTAGCCTTATCAAGCAGTTTAGGCTACTTTTATTTCAACATTGTTAAATGAGATTGGTTTTAAAGCTATTTTCTTTGAAGTTAAATTTAACCCTAATGCTAACATATCCTAGATTGTTTAAACTCCAAAGTCTGTTTTCACACTGGTAAGAAATGTAAAAATGCTCACACTTCCAGTATAATTATTTATGTTGTATTATTTACAAATTTGACCTGACATGCTTTTAGAAGGAAATTTTACACTGTTATTTGATTTATTGAAGAATCCTATATTACAGTATTTTGTTCCACAAAGTGGGTGGGTCTCTGCCTTGCTCTGTGAATCATTTTATAAAATGAAAAGGAAGGTTAATAGCTTTTCTCTAAAATATAAATGGCTTTAATGTTTTTCTGATTTCAGACATATATCCCTGTTTTAAAAAATAAGAAAATAAAATGAAATAATCTATAATCCTACTTTTAGCTTAACTGTGCTAAACATTTTAGTGTGTATATTTCTAGACTGTTTTCCTATTTTTCATGTCAATATAGGATTATTTTAAAAAGAAAAATATTGAGGTCCCACACATATGATTTTAAAATGTGTTTCTCCACTTGACAAGTTTGGGACTACCAGACAGAGAAATGAGTAGAAATAAATTTTTAGAAAGTTTGCCTTCCGATGTATTTATTAGTAATTTCCTGAGAATGGTGCAATTTCTCCTCTGTTCCTCCAGTGAAGGAGCTTTGTTAGGACAGTGATTTAAGCCTCAGGCTGCTGTCTGAAGAACCAGTGATCTGAAATCACCAGCTGCTCTGGAAGAGAAAGGGCAGTGTGCTTCCCTAAGAACTTACAGCCTCAGCAGTACCATAGGATTATTCTACTCTGTCCTATAAGGTTGCGAATAGACTCCATAGTAGTTGACTTACTCCTCTTAATAAAAGGTATGTACAGTGGCTTAGTGGTAAGAAATTGCACTGCCAATGCCAAGATACACAGTTTGAATCTACCAGTTGCTCCATGAGAGAAAGATGAGCAGTCACCTCTTACGCAATTACTGTCTCTGAAAACCCACTGGAGGGTCAGCTCTGGGTCAGTTTTGACTCGATGGTACATAGCAATGTACTTACAAATAAGAGTTCTTTGCAAGAGAAAAAAACAAAACAAAACACCTCACCAGGTATTTTAAATGATTGTTTAAAGACTGACTTTAATTTAAGACAAACAGTAGTAGATATTTATAAGATTGTGGGAAGGTCTAGAGGAGCAGTCTAGGTTAATGCTACAGAAATGACCCCGAGCTGTAGAACTGGGCGGCCAGGGCACTGCTTCCTCCCCACAGCTAGGAAGACAGGAGGTAAGAAATTAGCCATTGGAAAGGTTGACTCCTGAAGCACATGATCCAGGGACACGGACAGTTGTATCCTCTACTGCTGTTGGTCCTTGAGTCATGTAGCATCTACGAGGGCCACACCACCCCGTGTCCTGTGCGTTACCTGCCTTTCTGTTCTCACTAAGCTAACAACTTTGTAATGGTGAAAGACAGACAAATGTTCCACAACTAGACTTCCGTTAGAAGCCACAGAGATGTCTTCTGTCTGTCTGTCTTCTACATTTCATGTGAGTGCATCCAATTGATGGAACCAAAATTACATTTGGAACCCTAGTTCCAAGGAGTCTAGAAAATATCCAGTCTCATCAAGATAGAGACAGCCTAGCCCACCAGATCAAAAGTTTGGCATGAATGTTGAGTCCCATCATATTTCCCAATGTCAAAATATGTGGAGATGGACTTACTTATTGTGGGTGCATCACTCTACGGACAATAATTTTAAGGCAAGATAAAGAGGGATCATTTTTCTGAAGGAGTATTATATGACACTACAATTTATTTTGTCTTTAGCTATTGCTAGTTATTTGCTTTTCCCCCTTTTCCATATGAATAATGTTTGCTAAACTTTTATCAGAATCTCTTAATAGTTCCCATGGTTACAAACCCAGTGTTTAGTTTTTCAGACCCCATTTTACACTAATGATGTGGTAGATAAGCACTTGGCTGTTAGCTGAAAGGGGGTTTGAACTCACCAACCACTCTGTGGAATAAAAATGGAACAGTGAGTTTCTTTAACCATTAACAGCATAGGAAACCCTGTGGAGGAGGTCTCTTCTGTCCTATCGGCCACTATAAATTGGAATAAAGTTGATAGCATTGATTTTTTTTGTCATGTGACCATGAGGGAAAATTCCTTGGAGAGAGACATCATGGTTGGAAGGGTGGAAAGACAGCACAGGAGAGGAAGACCCTGGATGAGATGGATTGACACAGTGACTGGGGTCATAGGGGCAGGTATGTCAGAGGCAGTGAGATTGGCTCAGGACAGGACATGGTTCAGAGCAATTATGCAGAGGGTTGCTATGAGCTGCAAGTAACTTGATGGTGCATAGTAACAATGACATCAGATCATTAGACGTGGCTGTTCATTCTTTCCTTGAAACTCTGCTTCATTTCTAGAACGCCACAGTCTCATGGTTTGCCTTGTGGTTGACTTGCTGTCTCTCTCTCCTTTCCTAGTTCTTCGTTTCTCTGACCCATAATGTTGAATGCCCTAGGACTCGGGCCTGAGGTTGCTTCTTTATATTTAGGATTTAGTTATCTCATCCAATCTTAGGACTTTAAACATTATTTACGTTCTAATTGTGATATACTAACTCATTATTATGATCTGCATCTGTGACAAACTATTAATCTTTAGAATAATGAGACTGAGAAGCTTTTCAAGTGTGAACAGTTTTATGTTAATAATAAATGTTGAGATGATCTAGAAGTTCAAATATTCATTTTGCATGTTTGTTTTAGATCTATTTTTTTCATTTTTTTAATATTGTTGATATGCTATACATCTTCTTAAATTTCTGAAGCTTCTTTCTTCCCCATGCCAATGTTGTTGTTGTTGTTTGTTGTTATGTGTTGTCGAGTTGCCTGTGACGCATAGTGATCCTATGTACAATAGCCCTGAAACTTGCTTATCCTGTGCCAATCTTATTGTCTCTGACACACCTACCCCCAGTAACCCAGTCACTGAGTCAATCCATCTCGTCCAGGATCTTCCTCTCTTGCTCTGTCCCTCCACCCATCCAAGCATGATGTTCCTCTCCAAGGACTGGTTCCTCCTTGCAATATGTCCAAAGTATGTGAGACGAAGCCTCAGAATCCTTACCTCCAAGAAGCAGCCTGGTTTCACCCTCTCTAGAAAGAACCTGTATGTTCTCCTGGCAGTCCATGGTGTATTTGATACTCTTCACCAGCACGACAGCGCAAAGGCATTGATTTTCTTTCTTTCATCCCTCGTATTGTTTGGCTTTCTGATGCATAGCAAGCAATTGTGAAGATTATGCCAATGTTAGGGCCTAGAACATGGGATTCCTTTTGAACTTTGCCAGCATATTTACATGTCATTGTATTCTTTTGTCTCCTCAGCTTTTGGAAAGAACCAACAGTGCATTTGAAGACTCCGATTCCGGTGCTACCAAAAGTCCGCTTCACTTAGCTGTAAGTCAGATGCTGGGAGCACCTTCACATGCTCCAAAAAACCCCCTATACGTATCTAAGAGTAGACTACCCCTCACACTTAACCATAATGTTGCAGTAATAATCATGGTGAAAGCCGAACATGTCTAAGGCACATGTTGAGGGAGAAACTGCCTGCCTTGTGTTCCAATCTCAGCTTTATACCCTTTCTGAACCTCAGTTTTCTGATTTGTGGAATAAAAATATAAACTCACTGCCATTGAGTTGGTTCTGATGCATCGTGACTCCCCTCTTCAGGTTTCCAAGGCTGTAAATCACAGCTGAAAGAGAGAGATTCCGATCATCACAGACACATGGCCTTTGGGGTCAGCAGTGCAATTCCCTGTGGCTTATGCTCCACAGCTTTCTCTGTAAAATAGGAGAAACAGAAAGCCATAATATATTTCAGATATATACTTAGCAAAGTATACTTAATAAATTGTTATTTAAAAAATTTCCATTTAAAAGTATTATTCACTGGTAGTTAAATCAATACTCTGAGGAGATGCAAACAAAACACTTTTGTTCAAGAGATTTGTTGTTGTTGTTGTTATGTGCCTTCGAGTTGCTTGCGACTCATAGCGACCCTATGTACAACAGCCCTAAACTCTGCTCTGTCCTGTACCAATCGCACTGTCTCTGACACTCCCATCCCGATTACCCCAGTCACTGATCAATCCACCTCATAGAGGGCCTTCCCCTCCTGCGCTGTCCCGCCCCCCTCCCCAGCATGATGTCCTTCTCCAAGGACTGGTCTCTTCTTACAACATGTCCAAAATATGTTAACAGGTTTTCCAATATGGCATTCAATTATCTATAGGTTTGACCCTAAACCTGGCTAGTGCAATTTTATCCAAAAAAATTCTCTTGAGGGTTTTTTGTTGTTGGCTTTTTTTTTTTTTAGGAAAAAAACTCAAGAGAATTATTTTGGATAAAATTGCACTACCAGGTTTATGGTCAAACCTATAGATAGTTGAATGCCATATTGGAAAACCTGTTAAGATTTTTAAGTACAAACTTTCAAGAGAATCATGAACACCTACATGGTGATGCCTGTGTGCTTTCTTCCTGGGCCTGAAACTGAAGTCTGCGGGAAAGCTCTCGCTGCAGATTCTTGTACTGGCTGAGATCTGGGAGAGGGGAAATTTACCAGTAAAGCTTCTTCTCCTTCTCTCATTAATTGAATGAAAATCTAACAGCACAGAATGATAATCCTTAACCACAGAGCTGAGAATGCCAATCACCACTCTGCCTGGTGTCATGTCCCGTTGACAGGTGGTCATCAGGAAGGGTTTGCTGCATACCTGGCTGACTGGAAGCCACACTCAGTAACAGCCAGATCCCCAGCTCCGGGTATCACTGAATTATAAGCACTGATTCCAGGGCCACAAAAAAGTGATGTTAGGTTGTTTCTTTGTTTAAAGAAACTCCCTAGAATTCCTGTCAAATCATCTGTGTTTCTGGGGAAGTTTCTTCACAGCTGAGGATCCACAAACAATGTACTGGCTGCTTCTAAGAGGTCCATATGGAGTTTTCTAAGAATTCCCTTGCTCTTGGAATTCAAATTGGATCCACTGCCTTGCCAAACTACTGTTACTCTGAGAAGATACTTTGTTAGCATCCCAAACTTCTATTGCCTCCCTTTCCCCCACCCCTAGAATTATTTACTGAGTGCTAACAGCCTAAGTGCTTTAGATATCTAGTCATATAAGTAAGGATGGAATGATATCACTGCAAACAGATGGACTTTTGTGGTTCTGCAGCCAGGAAAGTCAAGGGATGGACATGGAGAGGAGGTCCCAGATACTATGCTGCTGCTGTTGTTGTTGTTGTTGTGTACCATAGAGTCAGAACCAACCTTAACTGACCCTCTAGCAGGTTTTCAGAGGCAGTAAATTGCACAGAAGGAGATATGTCTATCCTTCTCCCTCAGAGCAGCTGGTGGATTTGAACTGCATGCCTTTAGGATTACAGCACAGCTTCTTAATACTAGGCCATCCAAGCTTTAGCAACTCACCTGAACATGGTTTTCCATGTAAGCACTGATTCCAGGGCCACAAAAAAGTATGTTAGAATGCTTCTTTGTTTAAACAAACTCCCTAGAATTCCTGCCTAACCATCTATGTTCCTGGGGAAAATTGAAAATCTGAAAATTGGATGTGAATTAAGAATCTCAAAGAACCTTTCCAAACTGTTCACTGTGTTAATTTGACCACGTCCCTAAATTCTTGTGCCTGTTTCCTCATCTGTAATATTGGGGGGAAATAGCAATACATCTACCACAGAGCGACCATGAGAATAACAGGAGTTACCCATAAAGTACTTCCAAGTAAGTGCCACATTCGTACAATCAGCTAACATTGTCTTTTTTGTTACTGATTCTGTCCCAAATGTTGGTGATATTGGAGTAAATAGAACCCAGTCTTTGCCCATATGAGACCCAAGTCTGGGAGATAGACAGTAGGCATACATATATATATATCTCGAGCATGTCAGAGGGTTGATAAGTGCTGTGAGTACTCCAGAGAAAACGAAATAGCATCAGCAAGATAAAGAGTACTGAGGTGCTATTTCATGTAATGTAGAACTCACATTTCAGTAGAGATCTTCAGATGACATCTGATAGAGGAGTGTCAACTGGTAAAGGTACAAATTCCCTGGGGTAATAGAGTACTTAACATGTGCCTAGCACAGCAAGGAGAGCATTGTGGCGAGGAGAGGGCGCAGGTGGAAATGAAGCTCGGCTTGTCGTGAATCGCATAGGATCTCATTGGCCATTGTAAGAAGTCTGACATTTATGGTGAATAAAAGGTTGTTGTTGGTTGCTTTCAAGTCAGCTAAGACTCATAGTGATCCTATGACCAAGCTATTGAAACCCTGTGCTGTCCTGCTCTGTTCTCGTGATCTCTGCCTTACTCAAGCCCATTGTTGCAACCCATCTCCCTGAGAATCTTCGTTTTTGCTGACCTTTGACTTTCCCAGATTGATGTATTTTTTTAAAGACTGGACTTCTGACAACATGCCTAAAGTATGTGAGATGAAATGTCACCATTCTTGCTTCTAAGGAGCCTCCTGGCTGCGCCTTGCCCAAGGCGCACCTGTTTGTCCTTTTGACGGTCCACGGTATCTTCAATACTCTGCCAGGACCACAATTCAAAGGCATCTTCAAAGGTTCTTCTGTCTTCCGTATTCATATCCAACTTTAGAATTTATACAAAGGAATTGAAAATACTAAACCTCAAGCAAAATAAGAAATCATTTGGAGGGTTTTGTCAAAGAATGATCTTATATAACTTTGATTTTAAAAATGTTACTCTAGCTTCTGTAAGTCACAAACTCAGAAGCAAGACATCCCCGTAGGAGATGATGATGCCCTTGACTAGGATAGTAGCAATGGATTAGTTGTAAATTCTTTTATTCTTCTCCTCTAAATGAGAGTGCTTTCTTTAATAATGATTTGCTTCAGAAAACCCACAGGGATACCCATCATCCTCTCCAGGGATGTCCATAGCAATTAACTTGATAAAATCCCAGGCACATAATGTCTTAGGTGGGAGCATTCTATCAGCGAAATAGAACCAGATGCCCTGCAAACCTGGGCTGCTGCAGGAAACTTGGCCCGCCTCGAGTCACTATTTCCTGGCTGAATAATTCAAGTCTCCAGGGTTATCAGCCCAGTGAATTTCATAAGCATTTTATCCACTTGAAAAAATTAAATTAAGAAACAGGGCGATGCAAATGCGAGGCTCCAGCTGTCGAGATTTGTAGATAGAATCATGGGTTTCATGTATACTGTTGAAATCCCAAATTCTCCCTCCTCTGTGCCCTTTATTTCCTATCTAAAACAGTTCAAAGAAATTAATTATGTTTAAGAAATATTTAAGCTACTTAGTGAGCTTTATTATTAAAAAGATATTTCTTAGAATGCCTTCTAAGTGTTTTAATAGTATTCCTAGTGAAGACTTGAACTGGGTTATCCATCAAAAGACAAACATTCCATGTTGTTTGAACCAGTATATTGATTCTTTACCATGATCCGTTTCTCCTTTAGTTATTTTAGAAATTAGGAAACACCTGGTTCATGATGTTGTGACTGTGTGCTGTCGAGTCACCTACAGCTCATAGTGGCCCTCTGTAGAATAGCTCTGAAGCCTGTCCTGTCCTGTGCCAATCTCACTAACTCCAGCACATCTACCCCCATTGCCCTAGTTACTATATCAGTCCATTTCATCTGGGGTCTTCCTCTCCAATCCTGATGCCACATTTCTCCTCATAGAGCCCAGCCTCCCAGATAATCTGTTCTGCATATAGGTTGAAAGGTATGGAGATAGGCCACATCCCTGGCATACACCCTTCCCAATTTTGAACCATACAGTGTTTCCTTGCTCTGTTTTGACGGCTGCCTCCTGGTCCATGAATAGGTTTCACATCAGCACGATCAAGTGTTCTGGGATTCCCATTCTTAGGAGGCTTAGTTTTATGTCTTCCAAACATGATCATTTGGACTAATGAAACAACAAGGGAACATTCGATAAGTAAATCTGGGTTTTCAACCATTCTGCCTTTTAAGAGATTTTCAAGTACCTGGTAGAGGTACATACCTCACAACTAATTACACTGCTAATTCAGAGGCCCAGTATGTCCACCAGGACCTCTGAGGGAGGAAGCCGAGCAGTCTCTTCTCCTTGCACTTTACAGCCTCAGAGCCACCGCGGAAGGTCTCTATGACTCAGAACCATTCGAGGACAGTAAGTCTTTAATGTACAAGTAGGGGTTGGAATTCTAAGGTTTTCCTAATTACTAGCTGAGATTATCCCATTTTGTTTTAATACTATTCTTCTTTAACAAATGAAATGGGTTTCTTTTTGATGATGATGATGATGATTAAAGGAGAAAGTGAATGGACCCTTTCGGGACATTAAACTCTTAGGTCTGCACCTAACCTTAGTGCCCGAAGTTGTGCCTCCACCGTTGTGGACAATGTGACCCCTTCACAGTGCCTTCCTTCCTGTGTACCTTTCTCCCTGCCCCTGGGTATCTTCTCTTTATTACATCTAAATCGACAAGCACCGTGCTTGGTATAGATGTGGCATGTATGTAAACAACGTATAAGTTTCTGGTCCATTTTCTGAGGCTAAGTCAAATTGACAGAAATGAAAATGCTAGTTTCATCATCACAGGAACTGGTACCGACAGGCCCAGCATTGAGGAACAGCTTCTAGAACTTGCTGTTGTTCACATGGGTTCATTTTTCTTTGGTGTGAGGTCAGGATCTCTATAGAAGGTCAGTCTGTTTCTATAGAAGGTATATAAAAATGTGGAGGAAGCGTTAGGCAAACTGAAATTTCATATAAGCCACAGACCCAAGGCCAGTATATATTGCAGTAGACTGACTCACACCTTGATGTCCATGTTCCAGACACCATAGGTTTTTACAAGACAGAAGTGTTCCTATCAAACAAATCTGTCTTGGAGGAGGTATAGTAAGAATGCTCCATCAAAGCCAGAATGCCAAGACTTCATTGTGGGGCATGTTATCAGGACGTACCAGTACCTGGAGAAAGACGCCATAGTTGGTAGAAAACTCAGCTCAACTCACTGCTGACTAGTCAGAACTAACACATGGAGACCCGCTGTCAGGTTTTCAGAGGCTGTAAAACGCAGGGGAGGAGATTGTTCAATTTTCTCCTGCAGGTTCCTGGTGGATTGGAACCACGTGCCTTTGGGTTGGCAGTACAACTCCCTACCCCCCAGGCCACCATAGAGTCGGTGAAAGAAGGAAGACCTTCAATGAAATGGATTGAGACATTGACGGCAACAATGGGTGTAAGCACAGAAGAGCCTGTGAGAATGATGCAGGAGCAGGCAGGTTTCCCGGCTGTTGTGCTTGAGGTTGCTATGAGTCGGAGTCAGCTAGTATTGCTGTTAGATGTTGTGTCGATACCTAACACCACTGATATAATAGGAAAGTTACGTCATGATTCCCTCAGGCTCTGATAACCTAACCAGTGTAAAAGGATTACGGTTATAATGCACCACCGTTAAACCTGTCAATTCTGGTCTGATGGAAAGGGAGTTTCCCTGGGGTGTAGCTTGTAGCTCAGAAGAGAGAAAAGCCAGCTAAGAAGGGAGGAACCTCAGGATCCTCATGACAGAAGAGCCAGAACCACGCATTTGGGATTCAGATAACTGTGCTTGGCCATTAGGGAACCAAGAGACACAGAGAGAAAACCTTCCCTACGTGTTAGCGCCCTGAATTTGGACTTCCGGCTTCCTAAATGATGGGGGAATAAATTCATGTTTGCGAAATCCATGCGTTTGTGGTTTCTCTGTGATACCAGAACTAGAAAAATGAAGAAAATTCTGGATCTATTTTACCAAGAAGAGTAGAGAGGATGATGGCTTGCAAGTGGTGGAAAGGCCTACTTCACCCTTGAGTAAACTGGAAAAGGGCTGTGCAGTTTTCCTACCAGGATTCCTGATGGAACATCTGTGTGACTTAGCAAAAGGCATTCATCGCTTCCTTTCAGCACATGCATCATTATTAGACACTTCTTCCCATTTAAATCCAGTCCTAAGTAATAGCTTCCTGTTGTTGTTGTTGTTGTATACTGTTGAGTTGGAACCAACCCATAGCTGACCCTCCTGTGGGTTTTCAAAGGCAGTCAATTGTGTGGGAGGAACTTGCCCATTCTAATACAGAGTAGCTGGTGGATTTGAACCCTACACCTTAGAGATTGCTTCTTCCCACTAGGCCACTTCCCAAAGTGCCTTTGTTGTTATGTGCTGTCAAGTCGCCTGCAACTCATAGCAACCCTATGTTCAGGAGCTCTGAAGCTCGCCCTGTCCTGTGCCAGTCTCACTGTCTCCAACACATCTACCCCCATTACTCTAGTAACTGTGTCAATCCATTTCATCTGGGGTCTTCCTCTTCTGCACTGTCCCTCCACCCTTCTGAGCAAGATAGCCTTCTTCAAGATCCGTTCCTTCCTGGCTACTTGCCCTAAAAAAAGTAACAGCTACATACATACAAAAGCAGAAAATGTGTGAGTGGTATAAGAAAGTGCTTGTTTGCTCAAGACCGCAGGGACATACTTGCTTTCATTTTCTTCCCTATCTCCTTTGCCACCATCTGCCATCCATTTTTTTGAGATATCCTTACTCCTTTATTTTCTTTCCAATGTCCTTTTCCTTTCTGTTTTTGTGTGAGAGAATGTATATATATATATTATATATATATATATGTCTGTGGGGTTTGTTGTTTGTTTGTTGTTTTTTTAAAAAAAGCCAGCTTTATTTCTCAATAAAAATACCTTTCATATTTTCAATTTTGTTTCTTAATACTATGACGCTTCTTAACCTTGACACTGGCATAGGATCTATAACCGATCTGAACTTGGTTACTGAGGCATGGACTCTTCCTGTAACTTTTCCGATGCTTTCTTTATAACCAGTGAAAGGATTAAGGAAAAAGATGAAAGCATCAAGTATGTGCAAGATAATATGCAAGGCCTGTGCTGTCCTCTCTCTCCCCATCTCATAGCAGCCCCGGGAGGCATCCTCTAGTACTTTCATTTTATAGATGAGAAAGCAGACACCACCAAGTGAAGTCAGAAAGTGACCCAAAGTCACACTCTTAGAAATTAGTAGGGTTGGTACTGTAACTGCAGTTTGTATACCTCTGTTGAATTCCCAAAGTATCCCTTTTTGTTTGTTAATAGAATAGTTTCCTGGGAGTGAACAAGATTGTTAATTATATTAAGAATAAATTAGTTCATCAGCTATTCCTTTGAATTACACATTGGTAGATAGAAATATGAGAATGCATTAATACATTTACTGACATGAGGGTAATTTTTTTTTTTTACATAATAGAAGAAAACCTGGTAAAATTAATGTGTAACCATGAGACATACGAATCCCAAGTTTTCAGTCTCAGTCTGATTTGCCCTGTGTTTGAAAACTTATCCCAAAGAACTTCTACCTCTTTCTGATTTGCTCTTCAGAGTGTTCTATATCTGAGACTCCCGTGTGGATTGTCATGGGGTTTGAGACCAGGGAACATTTGAGCTGTTTGTTTCTTTTGTGCAGGCCTACAATGGGCACCATCAAGCCTTGGAAGTCCTTCTGCAGTCACTGGTGGACCTGGACATCAGGGACGAGAAAGGCCGCACTGCTCTGGACCTGGCTGCCTTTAAGGGACACACAGAATGTGTAGAAGCACTTATCAATCAGGGCGCGTCCATCTTAGTGAAAGACAATGTAACCAAAAGAACCCCACTCCATGCCTCAGGTAGGTCTTGTCGGGGGGCTTCATTGATGTTCTGGCCATGCTTCTGGTTATCCTGGTTCTTTGACCCAGTTCTAAATTTGAGTAATTAATGACATTGTCTTCTCAATTTTTAAAACATCCACACATTAGCAAGGGAACTCTGGTGGCTTAGTGGTTAGGAGTTGCTTTCTCGCCCAGGACAAAGATGAGCAGTTTCTTCCCGTACTGTTATTGCCTCTGAAAAACCGCTGGAGGATCAGCTGTGAGTCAGTTCTGACTCAACAGTACATAACAACAACATGCTTCTGAAGGTTTTGGGCCAGAATGGGGTGAGTCAGTGTTGTATGCTTTCTCCATGCCTACTGCATTTACATGCTGAGTAAATCACTTGATAAGCTAGACTGTATGAAGAAGAATATGTCAACAGGACTAGAAGACGATTCTTCAACAAACTACACTTACACTATTCAGATGACACAACCATGCTGTAGAAAGTGAAGACTTCAAGCACGTACTGACGAAGATAAGACTACAACCTTCAGTATGGATTAAATCTCAAAATAAAGAAAACAAAAATCCTCATCCCTAGACTAATAGGCAACATCATAGATGCTGAGAGATGAAGAAAAGATTACGTTGTCAAGGATTTAATTTTGCTTGTATCCATAATTAACACTTATGGTAGCAGCAGTAAAGAAATCAAAAGGCATGTTACATTGGGAAAACCTGCTGTCAAAGACCTCTTCAAAGTACTGAAGAGCAAAGATATCTATTTGAACACTGATGTATACCTGATCTAAACCATGTGATTTTCTTTTTACTTTTTTTTTTTTAAAAAAAGAACAAACCAAACAAACCTTGCTATTTTCAATTGTTGTAAGCAACTGAAAGTTGAACGATGAATAGGAAAACTGAAGACAAACTGATGCCTTTGCATTGTGGTATCGGCGAAGAGTATTGAATATACCATGGACTGCCAAAAGGATAAACACATGTATCTTAAGAGGACCACAAGAGAAGAAGACCCTGGATAAGATGAACTGACTCAGTGACTGGGGTAATGAGGTAGTGTGTCAGAAGACGGTGAGACTGGCTCAGGATAAGGCCAAGTGCAGAGCTGCTATTCACAAATTGTAGGCTACTCTGTAGCACATAACAACAACAAATCTTCACAGGAGAAGACTGCTCATCTTCCTTCCATGGATCTGCTGGTGGACTCGAACCACTGGACATGCAGCCTTTGGATCAGAAGTGCAGCACCAGAGCTCCACTCTCATCTTCTAAAGAGAAATAACTGTCTTCCTTGGTGAAACAGAGGGAACAATGACAAAGCAGAAGAATAAGGATATTTTAGAGAAGGCTTTAGGATTCTTGTTACTCAAGAGACGATTTCCTGAACTAATAGACCTTGTAGTACTATTTATCTCTCTGTCCTAAATGCTCAGATCACTGGACATCAACAATATATAGATGAGAAAAAACTAGCTTTTGCTTAATTAACTGAAAACAATTGTTGCTGGGAAATTATCTAGCCATGAGTGTGGTAGCATTGTTGTGTTTGAATTATAAATTTGTATTTTCCAGCACATTTAGTTGTCTTTTTGTTCTTATTATTTCCTAGGCCATATTTATGGTCATTATAATTACTCGGTTCAAATTACTATGATTATGCCTTTTAAGTTTGTTCTCATGAGATTAGTTGCCCGTTTTTGAGGCAAGCAGCTTCCTTAGTTGTCAAGTAATTTCTGGCAATTACAAAGGACCTGTTTTGATTGTAAAGAGAGGTAAACAGGGAAGGAGTCTTGTCACTCACGGGTCACTGTCATGAAGGTAGCGGTCTAATAGAGCCCCCTAGTGGTCAAGAAGAATCATCCCATTTGGATTTCCCCTGGTCTTTATTAAAAATATACACACTGGCCTTTGACTGTTCTCCACAAAATGTCTGCAGAGGAAGGAACACTAGCTTTTCCTTTCAGGATCTGCTTGCCCAGAATCCCTTTCAGCTAATTTGAGATGCCACAGTTTTGGTTTGTTTCAGATCCTGAGAGTACCGTGAGGGGTGGATCCAGGCTGGATATTAGAGGTTTGGGCACAGATAGTTGCAGTGACCTCATTGGTCTTTAATCAGCATGAGAAATGGCTGTCACCCATAACGAGGCTTATGGGAGACAAAGCTAGAGTTGGCAGGTACAACTTGGGAAAATGTCAGCATCTCTCTTATAGAAATTAAATGGGGAGAAGGTTGGTGTGTGGGGAGTCCAGGAAAATTTTACCTTGGCTACATTTTCACAAGTCAGGGACCTCTATTACTTGATAACCATCAGTTAAATTAAAAAGGCTATGGATGGGAAAGGCTGTAAAAGTCAATTTGTCCCTTTGAGTGAAAGATAGAAACATAGGTGGTTTTTCTTTTTTCCTTTTGCTAAAAATCTAACATCCTTCAAACTATGATGATTATGAATATTTAAATAATATTAAACTGGTACTGAAAGGGAACTAATAAAAATAAGAGGCTCCTATGCCTCTATGAAACCATCACCCGTGATATTCAGCTCCCAGCCCTGTGCTAATCCTTGCCTTCTAAGTATATGTTAAGCTGTTTGCATATTTTGTCAATGGTAACAGATCCAGTGAAGTTTTTGAAACAAAACAACAGAGCAATAACACATTACCTGAACTCTTGCGCACAGAGTTTCCTCCTAAGATACGTAAGACATATTTCTGAGAATGAGCTGGATGTAATGGTCTACAAAATGTGGGCCTCATTCCCATAGTTAATTCAAGTGGTATCCATGAACAGGAGCGAATTCCAGCATGCCTTGTCCCTGAAAACATGTGCCAAGTTCCGTTAGCATGCTCTCATAGGGGCATGCGATAAAAACGACTGTAAAAAGAGCCCTTAGAAGGGCCTTTGTTGACCTCACACAGCCACATCTATTCCCTTCTCTCTCCACATCCATAATGAGGTAAATGTAATGCATTTTATGATGTTTTCACCGTTGAGGAAGGAGAGAAGGTCACGTTTGGAATTTCAAAGGCATTTATTCTCATCTTACTCTCTTTGAGTGGAAAGCTATGTCCATTGTAAATCTTTGGGTTCCGTTTGCCAAGCTGAAGGAAAGTATCTTGCATTGGGGGATTATCATGTCTTTGCTGCCCAGGCTTACGCACCACTAAGTCCTGAAAGAAGCATGGGAGGTGGGGCCACAGTCCGCCTAAGAGCACACCAGGCAAAGAGAGGCCAAGTGAGGACAAGACAGCAGCTAGGAAGGGGCTCTGAGGATGCCTCAATGATAACACAGGAGAAGAGAGGGGAGAAGAGGAGGGGAGGGGAGGGAAGGGGAAAGAGAGAAAAGGGGATGAGAGAGATCGTAGGAGCCCTGCCTGTGGGATGCTCTGGAAGGCTAAGATAGGAAAAGCTGTTGTATAAGGGACCAAGTTCTGGTGGCCTAATGCTAATGAATTGCACTATCAATCCAAAGGCATGCAGTTTGAATCCACTAGCTACTCCAAGGAAGTAAGATGAACTGTCTCCTCCCAGGAGATTGTCTCAGAAAACCCACTAGAGGGTCAGGTATGATGAGTCCATCCCAGCTCAACGGTACACAACAACAACAGTGGACCAGGGGACCAAGCCTTCCCCAGCCACAGGGGATCCTTCTGAGTTCTGTCAGTGAGTGACTAGCTGGTGTGAGACAAATAGAGTCCAGCTAGCAAAGCTAAAAGATGGATAGTGTGCATACTTCCAGCTTGAGATTTTACTCTGAGGCCTCCTCTAATCAAACAGAACTCTTGTTCAAATCTCTCATCCCAGTGTGTAAGAAGCCCAGGAGATGAAACCGTCTGCTTACTTCTCTCTACCCTGCTTTCTCTCCTCCTTCTTTTCCTGCTGTATTCCACTCTCTTCTTCCATCCTCCTCCTCCTTCCTTTAAAAAAAAAAGATCTGAAGACAGGTGAACAGAGGATGATTATATTGAATTTGGTAACTCTCTTTGAGGAACAAAAAGGCTGACTGGAAAGCCAGGAGAGCCCGTGAGTCATACCCCAGGAGATAGGGATGAAGCCAGGGACCAGTGTAAGAAACCCTCCCCCAGACAGAAGCCAGCCAAGAAGGTGAGGGCTCCAGTGCCCTGACTGCAGGAGAGAGGAATATGGGTCAGGAAGATAAGTGTCCCAGCGCTGCGTTCAGAAGCTCTCAGGAACTGGAAACCTGGCGTTTCTGCGGCAACCATTTATAACTACCAATTTGGAGCCCGGTACACATTACATTAGAGGGATATGTGATGTTCTTTTTCTTAAAATAATACTCATTCTTTTCTTTTTCAGTAATTAATGGTCATACACTGTGTTTGCGGCTCTTACTAGAAATTGCTGACAACCCCGAGGTGGTTGATGTGAAAGATGCCAAAGGACAGTAAGTGTTCCCACGCCTGGGCTTGGTGGACCTCTCAGAAACAGGCAGCTGAGTGATTCATCCAATAGCGGGGAGGTGGGGGGGGGTCCATCTGCCACTATCTTCCATTGAAATTGAGTCTGTCTTGACTTATGGTAGCCTCGTGAGTCAAACTGTGTTCCATAAGGTTTTCTTTCCATGAGTGTATTTCATTTCTCAAAACTCTTTTGTGTTTGATTTGGTTGAACAGTTAAAGAGAAAAAGAATTTTTATGCTGTGCATTTTGCTTGTGATACTGATTATAATTTCAACGATGTCCCAGAACTTTCCCCTCTTCCTTCTGTGTTTCCTGTTTCTATTCATCATTTTCCCCTATTCTTTCCTGCCTCCTGGGCTTTATCCCTGAGGAAATGCTGCCTTTTTAAAATCTCACGTTTGATTGGTCTATGGAGTACATACTTCCCTGAGCTGTTCACCTTTTATCACAACAAAATGTGGCTAACCTTGCGAAGGGGGAGAATCGGAAGCACCGGATTGTGCTCATACTTGGGCCAGGAGGCCGAAGAACAGAGCGAGGAAATATTGCAAAGTTCAAAATCAGGAAAGGAGTGTGTCAGGAATGGGTCCTATCTCCATGCCTTTTCAATCTACATGCGGAACAGATCATTTGGGAAGCTGGGCTTTTAAGGCATCAGGATTGGACAAAAACTATCAACAACCTGTGTTATGCAGATGACACAACCTTGCTAAAACTGAGGTAGTCCTGAGGCATTTGCTGCAGAAGGTCAAGGAGTGTACTCTGCAATGTGGTTTTCAAGAAAACAAAGATTCTCACCACTGGGCCAAGTGGCAGCCTCATGATAGACGGAGAAGAGATTGAGATTGTTAACAATTTCAGCTTGCTTGGTTCCACAAACAACACTCTTTGCACCCGCAGTCAGAAAATCAAAAGACAAATTGCTCTGGGAAAATCTGCTGTTAGGGACCTCTCCAGAGTGCTAAAGAGCAATGATGTCATTCTAGAGACTAAGGTATACCTGATCCAGGCCATAAATAATCTTCACAATTACCTGTTATGCATCACAGAGCTGAAAAATAACTAAAGAAGACAGAAGAAGAATTGAAACCTTTGAGTAGTGGTGCTGGAGAAGAGTATTGAACATACCATGAACTTCCAAGAGAACTAACAGTTCTCTCCTGAAGAGGATGTTTGCTGGAGGCAAAGATTTTGAGGCTCCATCTCACGTACTTTGGGCATGTTGCCAGGAGGGACCAATCCTTGGGGATGGACATCATGCTTGGAAGGGTGGACGGACAACGCAGCAGAGGAAGACCCCAGATAAGATGGATTGACACAATAATTAGGTTAATGGGGGTAGGTGTGTCAGAGACAGTCAGATTGGCCCAGGAAAGAGCAGGGTTCAGAGCTTTTGTTCATAGTGTCGCTATGAGTCATGGTGACACAAGACACATAACATTACCACCATTGAGTGGCTGAAACTTGAGCCATGGAGATGAATTCAGGCTTGAGGGGAAGCTAAAGACCATAGTCCTGGGAGTTCTACCAGTCTTTATTAAACCAATAAACCTGGCCCTTTATGATTCTGAGTTTTGGCCCACATTTTTCTCACATTCTGTCCAGGACTGTAGTCTCTTTCAGAGCAGTCCATGGTGATAACTGGGCATCATCTACTTATTCTGGCTTTGATGTCATGTAGGCTCAGTTCACACAGTCCATTACTCCTTTGGAATAATTGTGTCTTTTGTGTTTCCAATTAGGAGAGAATAATAGCTACTCACTAGGTGGCCAGTTTTTAAGGCCAAAGTGTATAAGAGCCGCAACAGGATGTAGAATATTGTCTTTGAGAGCTACATTACGGGAATTAGCTGTTTCCGAGATTGGGTCTAAGCCTCTAAGCCTAAGGACTCATTCCCACAAAGTAATTATGACTAAGAATGTTCATAACGCTTCAGCTCATTTGCTCTGCTGTACTCTTGGACATATTTGTAGCGCATGTAAATACTTAGGTAGAAAGAAATAATCTCTGCCTAATCTATATACAGTCATGGGTGAAGTGCCTACCCATACCTGTTCAGCTCGTCTGTCTGCCTCCGTATCTAATCCTAGTTTATCATTTGTTCTCACTGATAATTTAGGATTGTATATATAATAATATTGACTTTGATTGGCTCTAAGTCTAGTGCACCTCTCCTTGTCTTCCTTTGCTGTGGTGGTATTGTGCTATAGTGGTATAGTGCTTAGTGTATATCACCTTTCCATTTCCCCAAATTAATACATCCTGATATATATACAATGACCAGTGATGACCTTTTGTCATGGCTGTAGCCTTGTATCTTGGCCACCTTCCCTCCTTCTGTATTCCCTTTGTTATTCTCATTTCTGCTTGTTTTACTCTTTTCTAAAGTAGCAACACTTCTTTTCATAGCACTGATAATGGTATTAGAAGTGATCTTCAGTATTGAACGTATATATCATTCATTGCCAAGAGAATAAACAGGTCTGTTCTGGAGAGAGTGACATTGGGCTGCTCCTTGGATTTAGAAGCTCCGTCGCATATACTCTGGCCATGTTGCTAGAAGGAACCAGTGCTAGGAGGACATCATGCTTGGCAGGTGGAGGGACAGCGCAGGAGAGGAAGACCTCGATGAGATGGATTAACACAGTAATTGGTGTAATCGGGGTAGGTGTGTCGGAGTCAGTGAGACTGGCTCAGGACAGGGCAGGTTTTAGATTTAATGTACACAGGGTCTCTGTGAGTTACAGACAACTCAATGGCACATAACATGCACAACAACATCTTGTTTAACCTTGCTTTAGTTTTCCCCCCAAGCTTTCCTATCTTCTGACCCATTCATTCCCCACCCTACCATCTCTTACAGTTAGGAAATTCTGGGCAGAAAAGTACCAGTGGTTTGCCGCTGTGCGTTAGCATCAGAGTCAGAGCCCAGCTCCCATGTCCAAGCACTCTGTTCTTTCCTTTTGATCAGTCTAATCTTGATCAAGCAAATCTTAATTAAAGTTGTGTTCAATAAATGCAACATCAAAAATTGTGAAAGTAGGAGCAAGAGAGCCTTCTCCCATCACACACACATACACTCCCTTCCAGCAGCTCCTTAGCTACCTACTTTTGAAAATTATAGGAATAATATGATTTTATACACACACACATAAACCTACCATCACCCTACCCTATTGAATAGCCCTGCTATTCAATGTGCCGTTGTAGACCAGAGGTAGAATTCCTTGCTCCACATAGCACATACCACATTGGAAACACACACTAAAAAAATTATGGAAATGGTCAAGGTTAAAAAAATTCCTCACACTGGAACTTACATCTTTTTCATTTCCTTCCCCAAAGCCTAATATGTCTCTCTCTTCCCTAGAACCCCACTGATGCTTGCAGTAGCATATGGCCACATCGATGCTGTTTCATTATTACTTGAAAAGGAAGCAAAGGTAGATGCTGTTGATATCATGGGATGCACAGCTTTACACAGAGGGGTAGGTATACTTTCCTCTGGTTTTGCCAAACAACTCTACAATGAATTTGCCGCTGCTTTTTCTTCTCATATAAATTTTAGGGGAAAAAACCTGCTTCCTACAATAACCAATTAACCTCTGTCAGTCAAGAAGAAATGACAAAATCTTTTGCAAAAGTAAAATATTGCAACTACTCGTAGGTCCTGCTCTTGAATTTCATGGTACCTGGTGATTATAGATTATGAACATCTACTGTTGGCAGAATAAGTTGTGCTTTCTGATTACAAAATGCATTCACATCATGGGAAAACTGCAAAGTATAAAAAAAGAGCACAGCAGAGAAAAACACAATGGTCAGTAATCATACCTCCTGGAGATAACCACTTTTGGGCATATGCAATTTCAATCTTTTTTTTCTGTTGGAAATTTAAAAAAAAAAAATAACAGCTTGTTAAAAAGGAGAGTGCTGTGAACATTATTTAAAACCTGTTCTCCCCTCTCTCTTCCGAGTATATAAAAGGCTTTTTTTCTGTCCCTGCTTATTTTTTGGCACCATCATTTTTAACACTCCATCGTGTGCATGTGCTGTATCCCTGTGTGTGATTCCTCATTTTGAATAGTCACACAATTTGTAATTATTGTTTCTTCCAGATGATGCTAGAATATGTATCCTTGTGGACAGTCCTTTGCATACATCATCTGAACTGTTTTTTTAAAGCATATCAAATAAACAAAATGAAAGAAAAACACATAACATAAAATTACAACTTTGGGGTGGTGCCAAACATGGGCATTTGAAAAACAGGAGCTCTAAGTGGTTTCCTGGACACTTCCTCTAGTCCATACTACCTGCTGGGAACATTTATCTCAACAGCCATGAGGTCATTATGACTATGCCTATTTACATATTAATCAAATGAGGCACAGGGAAGTGAATTGACCTGTCCAAGATTTGTAAGGGGGAACGAGGATTTGAACCACATCTTCCTATTTCTGAAGCCAGTATATTTTGCTTATGTCCTTGTACTTTTCTGAGTGATGTTTTCTTAGTTATATTTGTAGAGTCAAGCAGTGTTTCCAAAAGGGCCTTCTCTTTATGAATTTTGTAGCATTGTCCTGCCTCTCCCTGTTAAAGTGGGGCACCCATGCGTTCCTTAGACTCATGTCTGCTTCCTTCATCAGCTGACAGCCTCACCATCTCGATCTTCTGCGTTCTGTTTGATTTTTGTTGTTGCCGCTGTTTTTAATCCCCTTGTATCAGATTATGACGGGACACGAGGAATGTGTGCAGATGCTGTTGGAGCAGGAGGTTTCAATTCTCTGTAAAGATTCCAGAGGGAGGACGCCTCTGCACTACGCAGCTGCTCGCGGCCATGCTGCGTGGCTGAACGAGCTGCTCCCAATGGCCCTTTCTGAAGAGGACTGTTCCTTCAGAGATAATCAAGGCTACACGCCCATGCACTGGGCCTGTTACAATGGTGAGTTGCTGGCCGTTTAACCAATTCCACTGGGTTTCCCTCCAATGGCACCACCGTCCCTTTACCACACCTCGCCAGTTGATTTCAGTGGAGGGGAGGTGTACAGCCTAGTGCTCCGTCAACCAAGGTTTCCAGTCTTTTAACACCAAAACATTTTAGAAGGATTTTCCTTAAGGGCTGAAGTGAGTAAAAACTTGAGTAAAAATCACTTTCCAGTTTTTGTTATTCAGTTGCATAACACCGAATAAGAACTTCCAATTAATTGAAATAATAAATTTTAATCATGGTTTTTGATCTACCTGAAATGACTAGGGAGCCCACAAGGGATTATAAGAATACAGCTAAATATGTAAATATGTATGTATGCTACATAATATATATGTATGTATAAATATATAAAATGCATGTTATATATGTATCATATATGTTATACATATGTCACATATATGGAGCTCATGTGGTCTAGTGTGTCACCCCAAAGGCAGGCATTCAAATCTACCAGCTACTCCTCAGGAGAGCACTGGACTATCTGTGATTTACAGCCTCTGAAAAGCCACAGGAGGGTCCTCTAGGATGAGTTGATTCCAACTCAATGGCACATTTATATAGCTATATTATTATAATACATACAGAGCTTGTATATTAAATGGAATCTCACTCACTCAATTCATTGCCTTCAAGTCAGAACTGACACAGGTAGAGACCAGTAGGTTTTCCGAGGCTGTAAATCGCAAGGGAGCAGATTGACCGTCTTTCTCCCTCTGAGCTGCTGGTGCATGCTAGGTGCCAGAGAAGTACTCCCTTCAGATTAACAGCGCTACCCTCCTATGCCCAGGCCGTCAGAGCTCCCAGCTTGGTACAATTCATTCTAGTGGAAGAGACATGATTTATCTTTTGGCGGTGTCCCTTTTTGCCTCATATTTCCCATTTAGTTTGTTTTCTGTTATTTGAGAGTTGTTTTTTTTGTTAAGGTTTCTCTTTGAATAAAAAAGAGATGCATGTTAAAATAATTTAAAAATATCAGAGTTTCTAGGGTTATTGAAATTAAGTCCAATCCTACTTTCAAATAGCAGTTTGATGTATACCTTTCTAATTTTTTTGGTATGTTGTTGTTGAGTACCATCAAGTCGGAACCGACCCTTAGCTGACCCTTAGGTTTTCAGAGGCAGTTAATCGCATGGGACGAGATTGCCCATCCTTCTCCCATGGAGCAGCTGATGGATTTGATCGAACCATGTGCCTTTGGGATTTCAGTTTAGTACTAGTAGTATATGCATATCTGCTTTCTAAAACCAAAATCATGTAATAGATATCATTCTAAAATGATGTAACAACTGCCCTAGGGGAGAAAGATGTGCAGTCTCCTCCCATGCTGTTTACATCCTCTGAAAACATGCTGGAAGTTTAGCTATGTGTTAGTTCCCACAGGACGGCAGTGAGCAGAGCTGGCCTTGGTTTTGTTATTTACAAGCCAATACATGTATACATGGATTAATCTTTTAAATAGTTACATACGTGTGTCTGTGTGTGTATGTGTGTATATCAGAATATGTGAGTGTATCAAAATATATTTAATCAGATCCCAGGTGATGGACCTTCAGATTTTGTTCAGGATTTCTTTTCTGTTACAAGCTGTTTTAACATGGGTCTGTTTGTACTATGGTGCTTTAAATTCTGTCAGATAAATTCTATGAGTCAGATTATTTAAGTAAAGAACATGTATAATGTGAAATTTTAATTTTACAAAGTCTACCATATTACTTTGCAAAAATAATAGTTTATTACCCTGTCAAATGTATGTGTACAAGTTCTTATTTGCTACATTCTTATCAGATCAAAATAATGTCAACTCCCCCCCCCATTTTATGATAGGGAAAAGGTATCTTATTGTTTTAATTTGCCTTTCCTTGTCTAATTATTTGCTTACTGCAGAATTTTTCATTTGACCCCCTACTGAGAACTTGGATCTTGTTGAAATGCACATTCTAATTCCGTGTAGCTACTGTGGAAATGCAAATTCTCGGTAGGGGTCAAATCTTGAGTTATTGGTTATTTGCATTTCTTGTTGTGGAAATTAACTTTTTCTAGCCCTTGCTCACTTTATTATTATTTTTATCATTCCTTACACATTCATGGGAATACCTTGTCTTGTTGACAAAAACTTTTCCTGACTTCCCAGTGTTGCAAATGTTTTCTCTCCATTTCAAGCGCACATTTGTTTTTCTTCCCTGTTCATGATGTCTTTTTTACATGTGGAGACTTAGAATGTTGTGTAGCTGAATCGCAGTCCAAGTTCCCGTTTATATCAGGGTTTCAATTCTTGCTTCAGGTCTCTCACCCCCACGATGGTAGAGCTATTTTCGCCTTATATTTCTTACTCTGCTTCTGTAATTTTGTTTTCCAATTTCAATTATTGTGTTAAAGGTTTTAATTTAGAAAGCATGCTTTTTAGTTCCAGAAAGGCTTTTTGGTGTACTGAATGAAGTATGTCAATAGTAATACATTTTGCAATATTTGTATTACAGCCCTCTTTTTTCAGTGGCTCTGTCTTAATAAGAGATCCATCTCCTCCTAGCTCAATTTAGCTCTTCTAATTAATTTAGCTCTTCAGTTAATTGGAGGATTGTGCTTTTCCTTTACTTATTTATAAATCACTGTCATTAGATGACTTTGAGTTAAATTTCAACTCAGCAAACCCGTGTGATAGAGAAGTCCTGTCCCACAGGGTTTTCTAGGCTGAAATATTTATGGGGACAGATTGGTAGGTCTTTCTCCTTCAGAGTTACTGGTTAGATTTGAACTTCTAACCTTTCCATAATAAGGAGAAAGGCCTAGAGCTCTGGTGGCTTCGTGTAAAGAATTTTACTGCCAGTGCAAAGACATGGTTCTAATCCACCAGCTGCTCTGAAGGTGAAGGATAGGCAGATTCCTCCTGTGCAGTTTTTTTGCCTCTGATAACCCACTGGATGGTCAGCTATGAGTTGATTCCAACTCAACAGTACACAACAACAACAACAATAAACTTTTCCGTTAGCAGCTAAGAGTTTAACCATTGCACATCCTGAGCACTGTGTTGGTCAAGCTGTGAGATCGCTTCAGCAATGGAGAATCTATGTTGTTGTTGTTGTTATATGCCATTGAGTTGTCTGCTACTCATAGCAACCCTATGTACAACAGCTCTGAACCCTGCTCTATCTTGAACCAATTTCATTGTCTCTGACACACCTAACTCTATTACCCTAGTCACTGAATTGATCCATCTCATCTAGAAGCTTCCTCTCTTACTCTGTCCCTCTACCCTTTCAAGCATGATGTTCCTGTCCAAGGACTGGTCCCTCCTGGCAACATGCCCAAAGTATGTCAAATGGAGCTTCAAAATCCTTGTGTCCAAGGAGTAGCCTGTTTTCACCCTCCCCAGGACAGACCTGTTTGTTCTTTTAGCAGTGCAGAAATGGAAAAATACAGCAAGTGTTTATCATAATGGCAGGTGGCAAAGTTGCCACCTCTGTTATCTTGTTCACTTGGGGTAAGGTGGGGTATCTCTCTGTCATCAGGTTTAACTAAGGTGAGGAAGAACAATCCTTTCCCAGCTCGTCAGGATCATTTAGAATCAGTGAGAGCAGGTCAAGGAGCTGCTGGTGGTCTCTATAAGGAACTGTGCCACTAGTCCAAAGACCACCCTTCTCTGGTGGCTCGAACACACCAGTGGTTTGGTGGGAGAAAGATGAACAGTCTCCTCCCATATGATTTACAGCCTCAGAAATCCAGTGGAGGGTCATCTGTGAATCCTACCTACACTGATCTTTAAATTGGAATTTTCACACTGTCCCTGAGAAATGGTGCATGTGATGCTGCCCTTAACTAGGTCCTACAGGAGATTTAAGTCATACTAAGAGAGAGAGAAAGACCCTCGATAAGATGGATTAATTCAGTGACAGGGTAATGAGGATAAGGATGTCAGAGACAATGAGGTTGGCACAGGACAGAGCAGGTTTCAGGGCTATTGTACTTAGAGTCACTACGAGTCACAAGTGACTCGATACTACATAATAATAATAATAGAGATGAGATTGGTGTGTCTGGTCTATGGGAGTGAGAAATGGAGGTAGTTGGAAAGCTAACCTATATACTCAACTCACTGCTGTTGAGTCGGAACTCATAGCAGACCATTCAGAAAATTTTCAAACAACCTGAGTAGGATTTGCCCAGCTTTCTCTCACAGTCCCTGGTGGATTTGAATCACCAGAGGCATCACCATTGGAGCAGCAGCTCACCTGCCCATGGATTACACAAAACCAGAGAATTTTCCTGAAATTAGAAATGTTTCATATGCATTACTTCACATGCCATATGCTTTTTAATTCTCCTAAGAGAAGTTTTACATTTTCTTTTTTAGTGTCGGAATTTTTAATACTAAAATTTTGCAGTCAGCATCATTCCAAGATCAATCATAAGGGAATTTTTACTAAGTTAGCAATAAGCTCAGCCAAAAAGAGATCCCAGGCCAGCAACTTGTAATCCAGAGCCGAATTGCAATGTCTTCCTGCCTTAAATTTTTACCACCTTACAACTCATGGTTGTCTTCTGTTGACTTAAGTGCATTGTTACATTAGTTAGGAAGGACAGACATTCCCAGTTATATTTTAAAATGAGAAACAGAGGCTCACATGTAAGTTGGCAAGATCACATAGTGAGTAAAGTTGGTTTGGAGACAAACTGTTGTTTTATTGAAAACTATTCCTCAGATGTATTCATTAATTTAAAAATATATTTGGTTCCTACAATGTATTGGGCACTTCTCTTGAGCCGTTTAAAACATTAAAGCAGTATTTACAATAAAATCTCTTTTACATGCATTATCTCAAATACAGTTTTAAAGCAATTCCAAATCCATTATTGCTACTAGATTCCTATTCATTGTGAACCAGCAGAACTACACCAGAGGGTTTCTAAAGCTCCACATCTTTCTGGAAACAGACTGCCACATAATTTTCCCAGGGAGCGGCTGCTAGGTGTAATCGGCTGACCTTCTGTTAGCAAGCAAGCACTTATTCACTGCACCACCAGGGCTTTCCCTTCTTCATTAGAGTGCATATTTATTTATAACTCACCTTACTTGTAGAGAAAGGGAACATTGGCGGCCTAGTGGTAAGAAGTTGCACTGCCAACTCAAAGACACCAGGTATTCAGCAGAGGGAAGATTGACAGTGTCCCCTATGTGGTTTACAGCCTCTGAATACCTGCGTGAGGGTCAACTGTGAGTCCGTTCTGACTCCACAGTACAGAACAACAACAGGTTTTATAGCTGAAAAGTAAATGTCCTAGCGTAAATATGAGAACACTGAAGCATGGCTCTCTTAAGCATATCTGAGGGTGGTGGCGGTGGTTGTTGTTGTTGTTGTTATGTGCTGTGGAGTTGTTTGCAACTCAGTGACCCTATGCATGGTAGCTCTGAACCCTGTCCTATCCTGAGCCAATCTCACTGTCTCCGAGACCCCTATTCCATGTCACCCCAATTATTGTGTCAATCCATCTCCTCCAGGGTCTTCCTCTCTTGCGCTGTCCCTCCATCCTTCCAAGCATGCTATCTTTCTCCAAGGGCTGATCCCTCCTGGCACAGAGAATCCATGCAGTTTGAGGTCTCTTTTCCCTTTCTTTCTCTCTGCCAGACCATATGGCCTTCAAGCTTTATTTGTTCATTATGTCTCAAAACACCTGTGATCCTAGTTAATAACATTCTGACTTTTTATACATTTTTTAGCCAATGGATAATGAATATTCAGCCAATTTAGGAAAATTCATAAACTAGAATTTAATACTTAGTGGAGAGGGAAAAATAGATTGAGTTTCTTTTTTATGAATGCCATACATTCTTTTTATTCCTTGCAGGTAATGAAAACTGTCTAGAGGTACTTTTGGAGCAAAAATGTTTTCGCAAGTTTGTTGGTAATTCCTTTACTCCACTGCACTGTGCAATGTAAGTAGAAATGCTAGGGGTTGAGGGCACTACTTTGTTTCTTTTAACTACACTTGGAGAAATTGCCTTTTAGGGAAGGAAAAAGAATTTTTATTATCGATAAGGTCAAGGACTGCAGCCTCCTATATGGATTGAAGCTCAACATCCAGAAAACAAAGATTCTCACCATTGGGCTAATTGGTAGCATCAATATGGATGGTGAAGAGATTGAGATAGTTAACAGTTTTAGTTTACTTGGCTCCACAGTCAACACTCTAGGTAACAGCAGCCAGGAAATCAAGAGAGGAATTGCATTGGGAAAGTAAGCTATTAGGGACCTCTCAAGAGTACTGAAGAGCAACGACATCAGGCTAGAGACTAAGATGAGCCTGATCCGAGCTATAGTCTTTGCAATTACGTGCTATGCATTGGAGAGTTGGACAGTAAATAGGGATGATAGAGAATTGATGCCTTTGAGCTGTGGTGCTGGAGACGAGTGTTGAATATACCATGGACTGCTAGGAGAATAAACAGGTTTGTCCTGGAGAGGGTGAAGCCAGAATGCTCCTTGGAGTCAAGGATTCTGAAGCTTTGTCTAACATACTTTGGGCATGCTGCAAGGAGGGACTGGTCCTTGGAGAGGGACATCATGTTTGGGAGAGTGGAGGGACGGCGCAGGAGAGGAAGACCCTCGATGAGATGGATCCATTCTGTGAGTGGAGTGGTGGGAATGAATGCGTTTGAGACAGCGAGGTTGGCACAGGATAGAACGGCATTTAGGGCTCTTGTACATAGGGTCACTATGAGTCACAAGCGACTCGATGGCACAACAACAAGAAGAAGACAAATATGTTCCATTTTGCTGCTCAAGACAGATAGCCCAGTGTGGTCACTAATGTTAATGGTTTCCTGGGCCCTTTTCATGAAATGCCACAGTGCCAGGAAAAGAGCAGGAAGGAGAGGCGGAGAAGTGCATTACACAAATGTGAAGAACTCCTGTTCACATTAATCTGCTACATTCTAAAATCCAATTTGCATGAAGAACAATACACCTACGAATGATGTGAAAGACATTTTTAAACCAGGAAGATACTTCATGTGTCGTAATTCTGAATTCATCATCATTTGTGTGTCTTTCCTTGGCAGATGTGATTTTTGCTTCAGTGTCACAATATGAGCCATTGTTTGGCCACACCCCGTGTTTAACCTACTCTTGGTGAAGTCACTGCTTATAGCTTACAGAGAACCCAGTGTTTTTAAGCCAGACTTCCATTGTTGGCTTGGGGAGCCTGACAACCTGGGGGCTCAAGTTCACTTAGCGTTGACAGTCATCCAGGGAGCTCAAGATCCAAGAATGCTTGGCCTTTACACTGTCTCCAGGTTTCACAAAGCTAAGTCATTTGATTGGAAAGATGTTGGAGGCAAAAAAGGACAGTATCTGATAAAAGTTAGGTGTCATCTTAAATCTGAAGGAAGCCTGTCTTTTTGTATTCCCAAAACAGCTACCGAGGTACTTTGTATGAATGGAATGCAATAAACTCTACTTGGACTTCTGGAGAAGTGCTCAGGCACTATTTACTCCATTGAGTAAATAGATCACAAATGTTATGTAACAGATTTGTGTGATGCATCAGAATGTTAAATATACAGTGTATAGAAAGATGGGGCAGGAGGAGATACATGAATTTTTAACAAGAGTAAGAAGTTTCATTTTAAAACCCATTTTCATTTTAGAATCAATGATCATGAGAGTTGTGCATCACTGCTACTTGGAGCCATAGATTCCAGTATCGTCAGTTGTAGAGATGATAAAGGGAGGTAAGTGACCCAAGACAGGCTGCCTTTTCCTGGTAAAGCTTAGTGTTTGCTTTGTAGTTGTAGATCAGACAAGCATATAACTTTTTTAATTGAGCAAGTAGTAAGTAAATACAGCTTTTAAAAAATTAAATGAGGGCATAAAATGAAGAGACATTTCCCATCTTAGTTCAGCTTCTTTTCCTGAAGGTACCACTAGAAGCTTTTTCCCAGGTTATTTTTTTCTCACACATATTTTCTCGTTATCTCTACAAATATATCTGTATATCTGTATCTATGAGGTATATATGCATACATACTTTTAATACATATGGGAGCATCTTATGGCAAGAATCTGATTTTGATATATCTTAGTAATTTTTATCTATCAAAACATGTAGATTCACCACATGTTTTTTAAAACTGTATATTATTGTACTGAATGATGTACTACAATTTAATGAGTCTACTTTTTTACTGAAGACAACTTTGTCTGTTTCTGTTTCTTTGCTATTATAAATAGTGGTGCAATGAACATTCTCATGCATAAGCAAGTGTGCCTAGGAGACAGAATCTTAAAAGTAAAATTACCAATTACCTCTTGACCATCTGAAAGCTGAACAGTGAATAAGAATGACAACAGAAGAATGGATGCCTTTGAGTTGGGGTGTTGCAGAAGAGTACTAGATATCCCTTGAGCTGCCAAAAGAGCAAACAGATCTTAGGAAAAGTGCAGCCAGAATGCTTCTTGGAGACAACAATGACAGACCTTTGGGAGTACTCACATACATTGGGCATGTTGCTAGGAGAGGCTGTTCCTTGGAGAGGGACATCATTCTTGGAAAGGTGGAGGGTCAGCCAAAGAGAGGAAGACCCTTGATGAAAAGGACTGGCACAGTGACTGAGCCAATGAGCTTAAGGATGCGAGAGATGATGAGGATGGCACAGAATGGAACAGGGCTCAGATCTGTTGTTCTAGGGTCACTATGAGTCACACTCATCTTAAGGACAGTTAAGGACAACAAAAAGTTGTCTTTGAGTCAGTTCTGACTCATGGCAACCCATATGTGTCACGATAGAACTGTGCTTCATTGTGGTTTTTTAATGTCTAATTTTTCGGAAGGAGAGTACCAGACACTACTTCCGAGATGTCTCTGAGTGAACACAAACCTTGCAGCCTTTTGGCTAGAATTCATTAATTTGACTGAGCATATTTATTTCCACCATCCAGGAATTCCTCAAGAGAAATTTTTTGGTCAAAGGTTAATAGTTCTTTGTCCTTTCAAAGCAACCATCCATAGATGATATGAATATTAGTTTTGTTGTTTCTGTTTTTAATACAAAAACAGCCAATTATTTATAAGTTTCTTTTTTTAAGAATAGTCTAATAGAGGGTATCAAAGATAAGAGAGGAGTCTCAAAATTCGAGGGTTAGCCCAATGTAAATACTTTGAAGGAAAAGTTTCAGTGTGTGCATAATAAGAAAGGCAAAGATGGAGGAAGAAAAAGGCAAGAAGCAATCTTTTAAGTGACAACTGGTTTAGAGAAAGAAATATAAGAAATGTTTAGACACAGATAGAAAATATTGCAATGTTGGACCATAAAATAATTTTTAAATGGGGGAAAGATTTAAAAGGTAAGAGAGATTAACAGGGTCCAGCTCCTTTATATCGAAACAGTTCTGCTGAGAAAAGGGACGAGGATGAAATGAAGACACAGAGAGACTATCTGCTGATGACGAATAGCAATTTTATTATTTAGGAAAATGCTTATATAGGTTTTAGAAGCATCCCTGCAGGGGTAATCACATTATCTCTTATCTGTCTGAGATGTTGACTGTCAGGTCAAACATTCCCAGACCTCAACACAAAACAAAGATATCTTCTGGAATGCCTTATTGTGTGCTTAGAAGAATAAAGGATTAAGAACATCACTTTCCTTGAATTCTGAGACCTTTGGTTATTCCATATTCATTAGCAGCCTGCTTCCTCAAGTTGTTTACTGCCAAGCAGATGTTCTAGCCAAGATGGAATCAGTCCTGCTGATTTTATAATGCAGTGCTAATCTTGCTTTACAAGTTAGCCAGGCTCCTGACAAGAGATGATAAGGACTACTAACTAAGAGGTTAGAGGTTCAAATCCACTCAGAGGGACCTTAGAATATATGGCAATGTCCGTCCTAAAAATGAGTCATTAAAGACTCCGTGGGGAACAGTTCCACCCTAGACACACTTACGGTCACAAGTCAAATCAACTGACAGCAAGTTTTAGAGGTGATAACTCGATAATCAGCCACCACCATATGTACCTCCCATATCTGCCCTACAAGACCATCAGAGGGAGTTTTATTATAATCTCTGTAAACTGAGAAGTTTCAAATCTTAGGACAACACCCTGCCCACACATGTGAAAATTAAGTGTGTCCTATGTAGAGACTAAAATCATACTCTCTCAAATCTTCAGAACACCACTTCATGCAGCAGCCTTTGCGGACCACGTGGCGTGCCTGCAGCTCCTTTTGAAACACAATGCCCAAGTGAATGCAGCGGACCATTCGGGGAAGACGGCGCTGATGATGGCAGCTGAGAACGGGCAGGCAGGCGCCGTGGGTACGTTCTTGCTGAGTGGACTTGGTGTCCATACTCAAAAATAAGAGGGACAGAAAATGGAGAAGTCATTTCTTCTCTTGGTATAGAAATTCCAGTGCGATTGCGTTGGGTCCAACTCTAGTGACCCATTTTTGTTGTAGTTGTTGTTGTTCTCAGGTGCCCTCAAGTCAGAAGCTAATCATAGCTGGCCCGCCAGTGGGTTTTCAGAGGCAGTAAATTGCACAGGAGAGGATTGCTCACATTAGTCTCATGGAGCAGCTGGTGAATTCGAACCACATGCCTTTGGAATTACAGACCCTACAGGACACAGTAAAACAACCTCACAGGGTTTCCAAGCATGTGCATTTTTACAGAAGCAGACTGCACATCTTCCAACTATGGAGTGAGTGGTGAATTTGAACCACCACCTTTCCAGTCTGCAGCTGAAAGCTTAACCACTGCACTACCAGGGCTCCTTCTCATGGTATACACATGTGAAAGGGGCTGCTAACAGTTTTACATAAGCTACCTGACTCTTGACATAGTAACTGGGATCATGGGGACAGGTGTGTCGGAGACAGACTAGCTCAGGGTAGCGCCGGGTTCAGAGCTATTGTACGTTACAGTCATCTCAGTGGCATGTAACGACAACCACCACCACCACCTGACTCGCTCAAGTTTCTTGTCTCCTAATAATTGATTATTGACTGGCCTTGTTCAAATGAATAAACTTTTCTGTGACAATATTTTTCCATATTAGAAACCAAATGGAACAAAAAATAATTTTAAATGGATGTGATGAAACTGTAAAAACAAAGTTAGTGCCCTTGGCCTTTATTGGAATATCATTAATGTGATAATTAACTGCTCCTTTAAAAAGAATACAGTCCATACCATTTATGTGAGCTGTGTTCAGTCACAGGGCCCATGGTAACATAATGGGGTCACTCTGAGTTGGAATCAACTTGGCACTGGTTTGGTGTTAGCTTGGGGGGGAGTTCCTCATTTTTACTCATTTAAATAGATTCTTTTTTAGTAACTTCTTCAAAATGTGTTTGATTAACGCCTGGTATGAATAACCTTCTTTTGGCTTTTCCTATAGACATTTTGGTGAACAGTGCCCAGGCTGACCTGACTCTACAGGATAAGGACTTGAATACACCCTTACATTTGGCTAGTAGTAAAGTATGTAAAGGAATTTAAGACACTGTTATTTGATATTAATACCTCCTAAAGCCTGTTTATCTCAGAAGTGTGGATCGGGGCTCTTAATTAAGGTATACGTTTCCCAAGACACTGTCACTTCTGAGGGGGATAAGAACAAAGCCACAGAGGTTAAGGAGGGTTTGCTTTTTATGGCATTTGCCTGGTCAAAGTTTTGCTGCAGTCCATCTGTCTTGAAGCTGCTGCTGTATCTCTCTGTCCATGGTTATGGTGTCACATTTGGGTTTTAAATGAAAGTTAAGATTTTAGTAATATGGATTCTAATATAGAAACTAATTTGAGATCAGGTCAACCCCTGGCAGAATTTAATTATAAAGTCTTAATCAGAATCTTGGAATTTTTATGGCACTTGAACCATTTACTATATAGGAAAAAAATAACTACTTGGGAAAAAATCACCTTGTAGAATGTTTTTAGGCAGAGGAAATTTTCAAATTAAACCATAATGAAGTCATTTTTTCCCAGGAACTTATCTGTGTCTTACTGCTCTTTTTCTTTATTAGGGTCATGAAAAATGTGCCTTGTTAATACTTGACAAGATACAAGACGAGAGCCTTATTAATGCAAAAAATAATGCACTGCAGACGTAAGTGTCAGTGTGGAAAATTTGATGCAGACGTAGATTCACAATCATTTATTCAACAAATATTAAGTGCTTGCTATAGTCTGTGCTAGTGATGAGAAAGGCATAGACCTGGCTTCCCACCCATGACCAAACTAGGCCTTTTGAGTCATAATCCTTATTTTGCCATATCTCCACAGAATTTTTGAGGTCTGAATTTTCTTTGCTGAGGTTTCTAAGATAAAAATATCAATTTGATAGATGTTAGAAAATCTTAGGGGCTTACATGTTTGAGAAAATCATTGGTTTAAATGTATTAGTATTATTTGTTCTTTCTGAAAGATGGCAGTTTTATAAATTACGTCCCCACAACAGACAAATAGTTTCTAAGCTCTTTGTCTTAATTACATTTTAATATAATTCAGTGTGATCTTCAGTGTGAAAGCTCTAAAGTCAGCTTCATTTTCCTTTTTACGGAATGATTGATGCATTTGTTTTAAGGGCAAAGAGGTATTAGGGTGTGTTAGTGTTTCTCCCCCCTCCCTACTTATAATTAACATGCCGTATATAGTTGCATATGTACATAGCTGGATTTGCCATTTTTCATTAAGATTTTATTAATTTGGTAAAACATCTGTGTGCATTTAGTAATATCAAAGAGTTTTGAGATGATTTATGTGAGTGATAGAGATGCAAGTTATATGAATTATGTGACATAGTGATTCAAAGGCCATAGTAGAATCACAGGGGGAAAGAGCAGCGTGAGCTCTTTGTGTCCTGGTCTGTTGTCACTGAGATTGTTTGAGATGCAGATTATTTGTAAAACTTATAGAGAAATCTGATCAATCCTGGAACAACAGTTAGATCATTGTCACCTCTGGAGAAGGTCTAGTCCACAGATGTCCTTAAGTAAGAGTTGTTGAGTGTTATTTACAGATTCTTCAGTTCTATTTTGCTTTGTTTAGTGGTGTGTGTTAGCAAAAGTGACACATTTCCATGCCGTTCTGGATCACCGTTGATGCTCAGTTGTATTTTATAGACCTCTCCATGTTGCTGCACGCAATGGTTTGAAGATGGTAGTTGAGGAGTTGCTAGCAAAAGGGGCCTGTGTACTTGCTGTCGATGAAAATGGTAAGTGAAAAAAATAACCGGTTACTACAAAGACTTTCCAGATACTGGCTATAGCCAGAGGAAAACGAGAAAGATCAATACTAGCTAAAAAGGCAGGAAGCGTTCTCTCCCCTGTGTCAAGCAAGGATTACATGTCCTGTATGTCTTTTTGTAAAACACATAATCCACCTGTAGCCCACCACCAGTGCTGTCCATTTTGCATGTAATGTCAACAGCTGATCTCCAGCTCCTCAGTGTAGTAGTTTAAATGTTTCAGACACGTTTTTTTTTAAAAAAAAAATCCCAAACTTGAGCATCCTAAATTCTAACTGCATACACTGAGGAGTTAGGGATTACCCGTGCCATTAGTGCATGTGCTAGGGCTCAGGTGAAGACCCTGGTCCTTGATTCTACTTCAGTTCATTCTGAGATCAAACCTATTAGTATTATTTTTCTATAACCAATTAGATCAGAGCTTCTATTCTCAGTTTGTAAATTTGGAGAACATGGGTAAAATGTCTTAATTCCTAGGGTAAAAAGCATCTCCCTGTCTATATAGTTGGTCCTTTTCTAAATGAACTAACTCTTAGCAAAAGCCTTCTACTCTGTTTCCTAAAAAACGGTGAAAGCTAATGAATACTCGAGTTGCATTAAGCTACCATTTTGAGCACACTGCCTATTAACCTTGGGTAGAAAAAGAGGGACTTCTGGATGTCTGTGAGTTAAGTGATTTTTTTAAATGTGGCATTAATTATGACATTTAATGAAACCATAATGTATTAACATAATTCAATTAACTGCTTATTACAGGTATTGGAATTAGCAGCTCGTCCCTATTTCTCAGAAGTAAGCAGCTATACTGATATTAGTAGCTAACTCTTCCTAGTTTTGGTTTTGCAGCCCCATATCCTAGCATGTTCCCTGCTCTGTCCCCCACCTGACTCATCTAGGAAGAGCAGAAAGTCCTCTTTTCAAGCCATCTCCTTGGTTCCCTCCCCTCACATTCCCTCACCCTCTTATAACCATGGTACACTTTAGGGTTAGCATGCAGGGACTCACCTTTTCCAAAGAACCCCAAAGACATCAGAATAAATTCGTTTTGACCCTTATCAAGTATAAATTTGCTGCATCTCAGCCTTGTCTGGCCAATAGCAACTATAGAAACTAGACCTATGGGCCAGTGGTACTATAGTTGTATCTCAAAGGCCAGGGAATATTGGGAGCTATTTGATGTAAAGCTTAAAATTCTAAGTCCTGTCATTATCACAAACCACTGTGGAATGCAGAGTTAAGGTACCTATCCCTGGTGGTTAAAAAACCAAATTAAAAAAGCCTAACAAGGTCAGATGCTGACAAAATAAAATGATGGGTTTTGTTAAGCACTAATTTCCTCCAAATTAGTGAATGAATGGGTGAATGAGTGCGTGAATGACTCCTAATAGGAGCAGGAGCTTTGATCAGTAGGGAGTTACAGTTAACCTTTCAGGCCAGAAGAATAAACGTTGTAATTAAATCAAATAATTAATCCATCTCCTCATAGCACATGATTTGTCCATTGAGGTCCGGTTTTTTAGTGGAAACTGGACCCACCCTGTGTACATATTAAAAATAACACAACATAGTAATTTCCCCACATATGTTATAATTAGGATTTAGACTCTTTTGTTGGGAGTATGGCTATTTTGCAAATCCTCTGTTAAATTTCTCCTAAATGATACTAAATTTTGAACCACAAACAACTCATGTCTTCCTGTGGCTAGTCTTCTCAAATGATTCCATTTTTCCCCCCAAAGCCATGTGCTACACAGGGCCCGTGTGAGCCTCACAGTCTCTGGGCAACACTCAGCAGAGCTTCTCTAATCACCACCCACAACTGAAAGTCATTGTTCTCAGAATGAGTCCTCCTCTGGCCCAGGCCTGAGGCTCATGGTGTGCATGTGCTCTCCTGTGGAAGCATCCTCCCGGTTGTCCTGTTGCTGTGTTTTGTTTTAATTTTGTGGAAGTATGTCCCACTCCTGTGCCCTCGTGTTTCTGTTCACTAGAGGAAGGCTAACTGCATATAATATAGTGCTTTTTGTAGTCATGTGAGCTAAAAAAAAATAAAAGGATCTCCCCAAATGTCTCCTCTACCTGTCTAGCCTTGGCCTAGCATGATGTGTACCAAGTAACTCCTTTTGCCTGGCATGATTTTAACTCAACATACATCTCGCCTTGTGAGGTCATACGAGATGTACTGTGGAATGCGCCAGCCTCCTTTGGATGCCACTACTAACCACTGCCTTGTCTGCATTTATGCCCAGGTCATACCCCGGCCCTGGCTTGTGCTCCTAACAAAGACGTGGCTGACTGCCTGGCCCTCATTTTGGCTACCATGATGCCTATTTCTCCTTCCAATACAATGACGGCTGTCAACTTCGTTTGTTTTAAAAAAGACAATTTGAGCAGGACCACCCTCTCCAATCTGGGTAGCACGGTTAGCCTGTGCAGTAACAACATAGGCTCGGAGGATGGGTACAATGAAAATGATTCCGATTCAGAAACGTTTTGATTGTGGAAGGCTTTTCCTCGATCACCTTTGTTGGAGGAGGGGAAAGAAGCTTGGATTCCAAGATTATGTCACATTTAAGTAGTATGGTGGACCTAGGTTCCCGGAAGCCGGTACAGAAGGAGTCAAGCACACCACAGGGGAGGGAGGGGAGTTAGACTGGAGGGGAAGCAGTCACACATATGGGCCCTGACTTTGCTTTGTATGGCTTCATACTCTCCTTAGATCTAAGGTACTTCTATGAAAGTCTACCTCTAATTTTAAGTAAGGAATTTTAAAGAATGCTTTTAGTTAATTTTTTTCCCTTTGAGGATAATGCAACAGAGGGAGCATTCTCTAGAAAGATTTTTTTAATATATATACTCAGCAGTGAGCTTTCAGAAATACATTGTTCCTCCCTTTGATGTTTACTTCCTCACTAGAAGCCAAAGGTAAAGGTGTTCATCTTCAGAAATGATGCCTGCAAGAATCTTTAAAAGGAACTCAAACTGTTCATTTTCTCACTTAAATATCCCGAACTTCTTTCTGAGGATGAATTTAAAAATTGAACCCGCTTTTTGTTCTTTTTAAACACAAGTATAGCATCCAGTGCGCCCCATAACAAGTTTGTGACTAACTTTATCCACATGATTGAATTCAAATCTCTTTAGTAACATTTTTGGGGGGGGGGAAATCCATTTCACCAAAACTTTGAGACAATATGCAAATTTAACATAGGATTACCTTTTGATAAATTCACCCCTAAGTGAAAATACTTTTTGAAAGCATCTGAGCCATCAAGGTCTGATGAAATGTTTCATGTTGGAGTGAGCATTATTAGTATGTTGAGTGGGATTCACAGTCAAGGTCATGCCAAGTAAGTGAAAGTGAATTGCAAAAGAGAACAAAGACTACAAAAGCAGGAACTAGACAGGGGTGATGTGGAATTTAAAGCCAGTTGCCAACTGTCTGATGATAAAATCAACATAGTGAATGCTGTGTCTGCTCCCTCTGCCAAAGCTTCTAGGTCAAATGGACCCCGTTCCGCACTTGGAACAGCTGTACAAAAAGAAGAATGAGACTTTTTAAAAAATTATGCACATACACATGCACACACATATGTGTATATGTATATAGATATATGTATTTCATCAACCAGCTATTCATGAGGACCAAAATGCTTCAGTCACAAATTGAAGACTTAATTTTATTTTCCTTCAGAATGGAAGTGAGAAATGAAGTAGCTTTTCTATGGAATTAAGATGTACTCTTTTTGTGTACCAGTCTTTGTTGTATTTTATATTTCTTATGCCACAGATTTCTAGTTGACGGTTGAACATTTGTAATGGGATGATGTGTTGATCAGTTTTTTTTGTGTTGTTTTTCTTGCCAAACTAGAGAAATGTCCATACATTTTTGATGTAAATGTATTTGTATTTATTTGAAATGAAACAAATGCCGAGGAGACATATCCATTGTTTGTTTGTTCTCTGTTTTAACTGCCCTGTGTCTTTTTTGGGGGTAACAAGAAAAAGCAGAAACACCATATGCAACCCTGGACTAGCCACAAGTCCTGGGGCTGACCCCCACATGCTCAATGCTAAGGTTTCCTGCTAACTGACTCTGAGGTCCTTCATCAGTCAGGAAGGGATATGAGAACAAACTCTGTGTGCCACCCACCACTCACCTGCAGTCTGCAGCTCACTTGGAGAGCACAGGACCTGTCGTCCACATGTTCATTTCCAAAATGAAGTTTGAAGTGCATAGAGGAACGTCTGTACAAAGGTGGCCCCGAAAAAAGAGGAAGATTCTCTCGAATACACACACACACATCTCTCATGATCCCAAAAGCATAACAGGAAACAGTATCAGTATGCCAGCAGGTGAGCTGAGAAGAGAAATAAAAATCACCAGCTCAAGTGATTATTTCACACTCAAGGAGGAAAGCAAATTGTCTGAGCGCAGAATGTGCCAATATTTTATAACCAGTTCCATTTTAACCTTGGAAGTTTTATAGCATAAGTGAGATATTTTCTAAACCAGTGTTCTGGCATATCTGGATCAAATACAGATACTGTATTATATTTTCTTCTAACTGTAAAAGACTTTTACTCTTTTAATATCTTGAACTTAATTAAAACTCACATTGAGTTCTTCACAAACGAGAACTGGTTCAAAGGATTTACAGCATTGCTATCAGTATCGTTGAAATTTTTCAGAATGACCAACATTGTTTTTCTTTTTCATTCTTGGTAGTGTGTTCTCTTCCTTTCTGCCTTTCTTGTTTTAGCAATTAAAAAAAAAAGATGAATTGCTTATAAGCAATAACGACTTTATCAACACACTGAAAATATGAGGATGAAGAAAACATGATAATACTGCGGTGTCTTTTTCTGGAAAAGAATGGAAATCTTGCCCAGTTGGCATTTAAGGCAGGAAATGGAATGGCTGCCTTAATGGTAAAGCAGTGTCAACATTTTTCTGTAGAGTAGCAGAGAACAAGCAATGTTGTCGCAGCTTCGTGGCTTTTCACACGATCTCCACAGAGCTGCATTCTGCCTTTCCTCCGCTTGTTTACGGATAGAATGGAGGACAAAGGAATACAGTGATATCATAACCCCAGCAAACTACTCAGTCAGTCTTTCTCTGTCTTTCTCTTTTCCCCCAAAGACCAAGAGCTCATTTTTGTTTTGTTTTTACCCTTTGAATAAATGGATGAAAACCTATTTTCTGTGTTTCCCAAGTAAGTATGTCTCTTAGACATAAAATTATGTTCACAACAGGAAATACTGTGTTTTTGATTGAGGCTTAGCTGTTCAGTGTTTTTGCCCTCAGTGTTGTTTTTAGCCTGTATTCTAACCACAACCACAGGGATCATGTTTTCATGCACTTACCTATTCACCAGTGTCTTTGGTCAGTACATATTTATCTCCACATTGCCTAAAATCTGCTATGATTCTACAGTAAATAGCTCAGGGGATTTCTATTTATCACTACTAAAAGGGCACCAGAGTGTGTTTTGGTACTTTAGGCAGTAAAACAGCTGCTCGGTTTCTTATTTTGGTAATGAAATGAGAACAAGAACATCAGATGGATTTGCTGCACTAGTTCTTTGTACTGTTGAGCAACTAGGTTTGCTTCTCTGTCGCATTGGTTGATGAACTCATCCCGTGTGTGTCCTGTAATATGAAGTTAGAGTGCCTTTTTATATTCATATATCCTGAAAATGTTCTGTGAAATTTTTTGTATTTTTTTCATTTGAGTGTTATGAGAGCAATATAATAATATCCGTGAGTTTTCATTTCAAGCTTTCTTTGAATGTAAAAAGTGTCTTTCCCCCACCATCGCCCCCTTTCCCCTGCTTTGAAATGAATATGTTAAAGGGTTCTATAGGAAGTATGTTTGACTTTGCAGTGCTAAAATGCTTTCTTCTTATGAAACTGTAAACCTATAGGTCAGTGTTACAGGGGAAAAGCGTTTTAAGATAGTGACAATCTGAGTGTGTGTATAAAATGTAATTCTTTGTGTTTCTTATGCAGTGATCTAAAATGACAATGCAAATATCTTTTGCTTGGCAGTTTTGTCTCCATATGTTATGCTTTAGCATGTGCAATATACCTTTGCAAAGCACGATGATACAAACCCGGTGCCAGTGTTCTATTTGCATAACATATTTGTAATGGCATAAAATATTGGTTTTGATCATTTCAGTGAGGATTTTGTCTGCAATGTTTTCTTATGTAAACTGAAGGTGAATGGCGCTGGTAAATGTCCTGACTGTACAAATGAGGAAAACGACTTTTAGTTCAGAGAATGACTTGGAACCAGTCTGAATCTTCTCAAGCACAGTTTAATACTTTTGCAACTACTGAATGCGCTAATAACATAATGAAGTACTTAACTGTAATATACGATGGAAATGCATTCAGATGGTTATTTTTACAAATAAAAACGGTACAAATATTGTTGTAACTTGTGGGCTGTTTTCTTTTATTAAATGAAATCTTTGTGCCATAAAGTCACTTACGACTCATAGCAATAAATATACCTACCTACAACAGCCCTAAACCCTGCTCTATCCTGTGCCAATCTCATTGTCTCTGACACACCTACCCCCATTACCCCAGTCACTAAATCAATCCATCTTTCCAAGGGTCTTCACGCTGTCCTTTCACTTTCCCAAGAATGGTGTCCCTCTCCTTACAGCATGCCCAAAGTAAGTCAGATGAAGCTTCGAATCCTTGCCTCCACAGAGCAGCCTGGTCTCATCCTCTCTAGGACAAGCCTGTTTGTTCTCCCAGTAATCGTGGTATATTAAATACTATTCTCCAGCACCACAGATCAAAGACATCGATTATCATTCCATCATCCCTAGTCATTGTCCAGCTTTCCAATGCATAGCAAGTAATTGCAAAGACTGTGGCCTAAGGTGAACCTTAATCTCAAGACTGACATCCTTGCTTCTCAGTACTTTGGAGAGATCTCTAACAGCACACTTCCCCACTGCAATTTGTCTTTTCATTTCCTGGCTGCTGGTACCAAGAGTGTTGATTGGGAGCCAAGAAAACTAAAGCTGTTAATAATCTCAATCTCTTCCTCATCTATCATGATGCTGCCAACTGGCCCAGTGATGAGAATCTTTATTTTCTTTATATTGACTATGCAAAGGCATTTGACTGTGTGGATCACAACAAACTGGCTGACTCTGAGAAGGGGAAACCCAGAACACTTGGTTGTGCTTATGAAAAACATATACTTGGACCAGGAAGCAGTCATCAGAACAGAGCAAGGGAACACTGCATGGTTCAAAACTGGGACAGGTGTGTCCTATCTCCATACCTTTTCAATCTATATGCAGAACAGATTATCTGAGAGGCTGGACTCTATGAGGAGAAATGTAGCATCAAGATTGGAAGAAGACTCACCAACAATCTGCATTATGCAGATGACACAACCCTGCTTGCTGAAACTCAGGAGGGCCTGAAGAACTTGCTGCAGAATGTCAAGGACCCCAGCTTTCAATATGAATTGAAGCTCAACAACAAGAAAACAAAGACAAACTTTAAATTTTGAAAATCCATAATCAAAATAGAAATGCATTTTCAGAATTGCAGTTTGTATCACCATAATGAGAGGGGAAAACATCATTAAATATATGTGTTTGTTATGTTTATTTATGCTCCTAAATTTTTCCATAAAGGATTTGAGCTTGCTTGCAATAAACTATAGGTAGAAAAGATTGTTGTTGTTAGAGACCATCGAGTCAAGTACAACTCATAACTTTATCTGAACCCTGTCCTATACTATAGCAAAGGTGGAACAAGAAAAAAGAATATACACATGTTTACCATAAAACTCAATTCCATGCCTCCCTCTAAACTGAAGTTGCTCTGAGCTTCCTTGCAGCCAAGATAAGATGAAAAGTATGATCTGTTATTTCACCATGTACACCAGAAGGGGGAAACCTGCAAGGCCCTCAGTGTTGTGACATCAATTGTGCTTATCTTGGGTACTGCCACCATGCTATTTCAGCTGCTCTGTGACAACACAACAGTCCAATTCAATGTACTGTCCTTAAAGGTATCCACAGAATTTCCTTCATCATCCGTCTCATCCTCTGAAAGTTGTCCACTTGAGTGGTAACTTTAGGGGACCATTCCTAGAAGCACTAAAGAAGAAATTCCTAAATGATGGGGTTTCCAGGAGATGAGAGAGATTTGGGGGTGATGCATTCCCTGGTTCCTCAAATCTCAGAATCACAGTTGGTTAGTAGTTCTCACATACTGTCCATTTGACTTTTTGATGAAGAAACTGATTCCCAGTAATTGTTTCTATCACTTACCCAAATTTGCATAATGATCTGAATATTCAACTTGTAGGTGTTCTCTCTTCTGTTTTATTTTGGTTTCCTCTAGTGGAAAGGTTCAGGGAGGCTTTGCCCTCCACCCTGGCTCATACCCAATTTAAATGCACAAATCTGAATGCCATTCAACCATGAAAGCTGTAAAATATGCATCTACCTTAAGTAATTGCTTCCTGTAATTTATAGCAGACAATGAGTATATTATCTCTTTTTATA